ATTTTCCTTAGTTGGCGCACTCACAGGTAGAGCACCTATTAGCGAGACATCTTCTGGATCAAAGATCGCCTGTAGGAGATCAATATTCCAAAAGTTCGACTGACTATCTATAAGATTGATAACTTTTAATTTATATCTAATTAATTAATGGGAAAATTGGATATAGAGGACAAATAATTAAACTATTGTCCATCTATGCATTCTATATTCAAATGTTACATATTCCTAATCTACCTTTTGTAATTGATTTAACCAAGTTTTCAAAAAAATATCAGAACAGTCTGTACGCACATGATAAAAAAGTCATGGGAATACTTATAAAATCGAAAATATATCGTATTTGTTACCGTTTTGGATGAATAAAATATGATCTACGAAGTTCAGAATACGCATTCTGAATTTAGAATGTGTATTCTATACATTGTACATGTTCTATAAAATTTAGATAATGTATTCTATGTACTCTACATGTTCTATAAAATTTAGAACGCATTTCTGTTCTACGGTATTTAGAATGCTAATTTCTACGAAATTTAGAATACCGATTCTATACTTTGCTCTTTCTTCTAGAAAAATTAGAATATATTTTCTAACATTTACCCATGTTCTAAAATTGTTAGAAAACACATTCTTATATATTTTTTATATTCTACAAAAAAAAATAGAAATCAAATTCTATGTAATTTAGATTTTTTTTTTAAAAAGGAAAATAAATTATAAAATAAGGAAATTGAATATAAAAAGTTAAGATTACGAAACTACAGAACTTTTTCGTGGAAAATATGTAACATGAGTGAAACGTGTTGCTCTACTTACACAAAATACAAAATATGTAATATGACCTAACTCAATTATAAACTAACAAAAGTACCACACTTGTGGAAAATTTTGGCTTACTATAAGCGTAATATTTGAAAGTGACTAACATAAAAGTGAATTGACATGTAAAAAGTTTGCATAAATCAATGTGTGTTTGTTTCTCACTCAATCTCTATTATATTAGAATTTAGCTGTGGAAGTTCATACTTTGTCATTCGATCAATGAATACAGGAGCAGATGCTGCTTCCCATTGATCAACTACAAGCCTTTGACGTGCATGTATATGTTAACATCGTCCAACATATCCATGGGCAGTCCTAAAAGAAAAAATCGAATAAGAAGTTGCCGTAAAAAGTTTGAAGAAGAAGATGCCGTAAAAAGAGGAAGAAAGCGGAAGAAGATATGAAATTATCTACGGCAAAAAAAATTTAGAAAGTAATTAAATATTTTTTTTGTCATATCTTTTCTCCAAATCATTTTTAGAAACAAATATAATTAATTTTGGAATTTTATAGTTTAGCAAGATTTAAAAACAAAAATTGGGGATATAATGGGATTTTAATTATATCAAAGCATATATGATCAATTAAGAATATAGAATCCATAGATGGACAATAGTTTAATTATTTATCTTTTATATCCAATTTTCCCATTCATTTATATCTAAGATTTGTATTCATTGTGTATACCTTAATAGAATGTTTTAAACAAATACAGTATATTCACAAATATATTGACACTTTTCAATTTGTCCATATTTTGTGTCAGTTTCCTACCTGAAAATGCAAACTTTTTTTTTTTTTTCTTGAATAATTAATAAACTTTGCAAACTTTCTTGTTCACCACTCTTCAAACGCTTTATAAACCCTAAAAAAGCACATACTCTCTCTTCATCAACTTCCTTGTTCGCTTAAACTATGGCTTCTCTCTTTAACCAAGTCCCTTCTGTATCCGCAGTTTTCGCTATCTACACATCTTTTTCTGCAATCATGATGATCGTCCGTAAGATCTTCAACGAGATTGTGCCTCAGAAAATCCGAGATTACATCACTGTGAAATTTGTAGACTTGTTCTCTTCTTACTTTCAGTCAAATTTCACGTTTGTGATTGAGCACAAATGGGATTTCTGCGAGAATAATACTTTCCGTGCGGCCAAAGTTTACTTAACTACGCGTCTCGCCGGACTCTTCATCGAAGAAATCCTCGTGGGTTCGAGTGACCTCAAGAATCCAACGGCTGAGCCAAATCTCGGAATCCCGTTGATGAGTTTGAAGGGATTCATCTTGAGTGGACTCTACACTTTGTTGAGACTAAAAGTTATCCCTACGAGAAAAAGTACTTTGCTTTTCTCTTATCCATGACTAAAATCGTTAATCTTTTTGTTGTTCTTACATTTTTTAATGTTTCAGGTACTTTCATCTTACTTGTAAAAAGCAGTTTCGTGAGAAGATAATGACAGATTACTTCGCATACTTTGCGAAATCAGCAGCTAAGATAATGAGACATCGCGAAGATCTCCGGATCTATACTTACAACCAAAAAGATTCATCATGGGGATCAGCCATTTTCGAGCACCACACGACCTTCGAGACCTTAGCTATCGAGCCGCAACTCAAGACCACCATGATCGATGATCTTGATGCTTTTTCGAAAGGAAAAGACTTCTTCAAGAGAGTGGGACGCGCTTGGAAACGTGGATATCTTCTATACGGTCTACCCGGTACCGGAAAATCCTCTATGGTGGCTGCAATAGCTAATCATATGAACTACAATATCTATGATCTCCAGATTCAAAGCGTTAGAGATGATGGTGAATTGCGGAAGATTCTTACCGCCACCAAGAACAGGTCAATTCTTCTCATTGAAGACATTGATTGTGGAGCTGATGCATCTCGTAGACGCCAGACCAAAAATGAAGAAGATGTTGAGCTCCAAAAGCAAAAAAAGGAGCCTGACCTTGGGGTAAGTTGACAAAATTCCTCTGTTTTTTTAATAACCTCTCTGTTTTTATAACCTTATGAATCTTCTATCTTGTGGACAGATATCTTTGTCTGGTCTATTGAACTTTGTAGATGGTCTTTGGTCGAGCTGCGGAGAAGAAAGAATCATAATTTTCACAACCAATCACAAGGAGAAGCTCGACCCGGCTTTGCTGAGGCCGGGAAGAATGGATGTTCACATTCTCATGGACTATTGCACTCCATTTGTCTTGAAGAAGCTTGTGGCCATGTACCTCAAAACTGATGACCATGTCCTGTTTGGTCCGATTGAGAAGCTTGTCATTGAGGTGAGTGTAACTCCGGCTGAAATGGCGCAGCAGCTCATGGCGAGTAAGAACAGTGATATTGCGCTCAAAGGTCTCCTCGAATTCCTCGAAAACAAGAAGAAGAAGAAGAAGGAAGAAGATACCAATGTTGAGGAAGAGGGTGAGATTGAAGATGCTGAGACTAAAGAATAAAAGATGCTCAACCATAAGTAGCTCTTTGGTGCTATTAATTATCTTCAAGACAATTAGAAGTAACTTTAATTTATATGTCAGTTTTACTTCTTCAGACCATATGTGACAAATTGTTGCTGAAACTACATGTTGGTTGTGTATGAAGGGAGACTGAGTCTCCTAATTATATCTATATTAGTTTAAATAACGCAATAGTTTGGCTAAAAACCGGAACATGGAACGACTGAAGTTTATGTACATTCACAGTAGAACACTATGACTTTGATTCTTTTTCAAGAAACCTCGAATCAAACAACTTTCTTGATGCTGTTTCCGCATCTGAGATGTCTTGTGCTATTGCCAAGGCATGCTGCAGAATTAGTTTTGAGAGTGTGTTTACTAGTTACGTAAGTTATTCATCAAGATTCAAGAACGTTCTCAATAAGTCCCATCAAGAAAAATGTGCATTTTCAAAACTTAAGTGTAAAGCAAATGGATTGAGATGAGCGAATCTGAAACTAACCTTGTTTGACAACATATTATTACATAGTCCATCGCTAGAAATAATAATAAACTCCAAGTGGAGAGACGAGGAGATGTCGCGTTTCATGGCCAAGGAGAAAGCAGAGAACAAGCGGAGAGTGGTTTCCCGGCCCTAGTTTTTAGTTCCCTCTTTTTTTAAAAATATATACGTATTTTCTTATTTTAGATTTGAATATTTATGGTCTTTAATTAATTTTAAAATTTTCATTATTTTAGAAGATTTAAATTTAAATTTTATTTTAGTTATATAAAAAAAATCAATACTATTAAAATAATATAATATATTTCCGTTGGAAATTCATCTAGAGATCCTTAGCGAATCCGCCGGGTGAATCCGCCGGTAATAGTTCCCATTCGGTTTTCCATAGGGAATGACAGAAATTCTATTCCTCAGCAATATGTCGGTTCGTCGTCGATAACGACCAATGGGTAGTTGTCGGATTCCGTCGGTGTGTTTCTTGACAGATTTTTGAAAAACCAACGGATTTTTCCGACGCTCTGGAACAGGTAGACAAATATGTTGGGAATCCGTCAGTTAATCAAGTGGTTAAGTCCATTTGACTCTACCTTCTCCACTAAAGTTCGACTCCACTAAGTCGTGTAACCACGCATAGATCAGTCCTTGTCTATCCAAAGATGTAAAATAAAAACAGTCTTACTTTTTAAATGGGTCCTTCCCATACATGGCGCCTTAAATGTTTTACCAATCACATTTGATACACAAGTCGTTCCAATCAAGCCCTTAATAACCTTTATAATGGAATTAGCCTGTGTTTTGGTAACTCCAACATTGGCATCCTCATCCGCAGTGCCGGCTCAAATAGGGGCAGCGGTGCGACGGCCGAAGGTCCAATTCCGTGTTCCAATAATTAAGGGGCCCATTTTAATTTTTTTTTTTATAAAAATATTAAAATTTTAAATTACAACATAAAATAAAATTTAGAAGGGCCCATAAATTTTTTTATTATTGTTTTTAGTTTTAATATTAACTTTTTAATAAAAATATCATACAATTTTTTTATATAACACAAAGAACAAAAAAAAAAAAATTCTAAGGGCCTATAATACTGTTGAGCCGGCACTGCTCATCCGCTGCATTTAAGCCCCCTTAAAATGTCATAATATTTTTACCAATCACACTTGATATCATCATTTTGAACATTCCAAAATTCATCCGTTGGGCTTAGACCTGAATTAATGGGTCTAACTAAAGTAGACCATAAATCTGATTATGAGTTCTTGTTGGGCTTCGGAAAAACTACACACGTGTGATACAATATCCACCGCACGTGTCACTGCAAGGCGCCAAAGCCACACCATTATCCTTCCGTTATCGTCATCTTCTCCACCTCCCCGGAATCCCAATTTCTCAGAAAGCCGAGCTCTTTGCACATCTCTTGGCTTCGCCTCTCTCTTCACCATCTTAAAAACTGGCTCTTCTACTAATTCCGCTTGTCTCGTCCCACCGCTCCGTGTATTGATGAACCCATAGCAACTCAACACCACCATGGATGTTACTGAAGTTCCATGGCGTCGTCTTCCTCAAATTTCCGTTTCGTCACGCGCCTCGTGGCTTGTTACTTCTGGGTTTCCTGTTTCTTCGTAAGTTGTTTCATTGAGGCATTTTATCATACACTTTGTCTGTGACCTGTTCTTATCTTCTAATTTGCTCTAACTAAAATTGGTGAATAAAAAATGCTTCTTTGGACTAACTTGGAATCTCTGTTGTTCAATAGATATATGTTCTCTCATGTTGAGCGTGGAAAGTCGTTTAGGCTCACCTTGTGCTTTGGGGTCTCTCGTGCAAGGTCTGCTATTGTAAGTGCACAACAAGGTAATTGAGATTATAAAGCTTTTCTTATGAAAGAATATCTTGGTTTAACTTTCCTGCTTCAGGTTTCGAAGTTTCTTTGTTTGCATTTTCAGCCACTGAGATTTTTGTTATCTGTATTCTCAGAACAGCCAGCTAGTCGTAGTAAAGGATTATGCGAGGTTGTTTGGATTGTGGAAGCTGATCTTGCACCCAATGAACATCTCTACGTTACTGGAGATCCTTCTGCTTTAGGTAGCTGGGAGCCAGACTGTGCAATCTCAATGTATCCTACTGAAAATGATAATGAATGGGAAGCTAAAGTCAAGGTAATCTATTCATTTGTTTCACTTAAGCCGTAGCGAACATAAGTAGAGATGTATCTTGATTTACATAAGACCGTTAAATGTTCACTTGTAGCATCAAAAGTACCCAAAGTCTTTTCTTGAAAACGAGTTCATATGTGTTGTTTGCTTATAACTTAATATGCTTGGCAGATTGCTTCTGGTGTAAATTTCAGGTATAATTATTTTTTAAAAGCTGGATACGGATCTTCATCTGATGTCATCTGGAGACCAGGGCCACAATTTTCGTTATCAGTTCCTTCTTCTGTCAATCGAGAGAGGAAAGTAGTTATAAGGGATTCATGGATGAGTGTTTCCTCAAGATCACAAGAATCCTACGTATGGGGGTCTTGGATCGATGATGCTTACCTTTTTCCAAATTCTGTTACCTCAGCTCAAAGCGAAGGTAACATCTCTGTGGTTCCTCCTCTTTCTGTTTCTTTTCATCCTTTGCAATATGTTTTAAAACTCAAATGCTTCCAGTGGTTTGGCAGATGAATACACTTCTGATAGTGCTATAGAAGTCCCGAGAACACTTCTGAATGATAAGCAAGTAGGAGATGAATCTTTCTTCTGTGATGAGCTTGCAGCCTTTTCGTCAGAGAACTCAAACTTAAGTGCGTTATTTTCTGACAACTATCAGCCTATCGAGGAACCGTGGTTGATTCAAGACTCTATTACCTTGCAACATGCAAGGAATATGCAGACTGATAGCGAACAAGATGTTGAAAGCTGTGATGAAAATGAAAACAGCTTACTTACTGTTGAACAAAATCACCAGCTGACAGAGACTCTCTTACCTGATGGTGGATTTTTCCAACCAGAATCCATTTCTACTACGATACTGATCAATTCTTCTATATGTACAGTGCAAAGGATTGCTGTATTGGAAGGTGAAAAGCTGGTCGAGTTATTGTTGGAACCAGTTAAGACCAATGTGCAGTGTGATAGTGTTTACCTGGGCGTAATTACTAAGTTTGTGCCCCATATGGGTGGTGCATTTGTGAATATCGGAAGTGCTAGACATTCTTTCATGGACATTAAGTCAAACAGGGAACCATTCATATTCCCTCCATTCTGTGATGGATCGAAGAAGCAAGCAGCTGATGGTTCTCCGATCCTCTCTATTAATGACATTCCAGCCCCCCATGAAATTGAACATGCTTCCTATGACTTTGAAGCCAGTAGTTTATTAGACATTGATTCAAATGACCCTGGGGAATCTTTTCATGATGATGACGATGAGCATGAAAATGATGAATATCATGTCTCAGATGCTCTAGTTGGATTAGTTAATGGAACTGTAGTGAACCATGGCGCTGTGGAAGTTGGATCTGAGAATGGCCTTATTCCTCTGGAGAGAGAACACTCTGTAGATTCCCTCGTTTCTAATCCATCAGTTTCAAAAACTTCTAAGGCGATGCCGTCTAAGGATAATAAGTGGATTCAAGTTCGGAAAGGCACCAAGATAATTGTGCAAGTTGTTAAAGAGGGCCTCGGTACGAAAGGTCCAACTCTTACTGCTTACCCGAAACTGAGAAGTAGATTCTGGGTATGTCATGTGGAGGTCCAACTCTTTTTCATTTGTTTCTTATTATTCTATTGTCTGACATAAACATTATCCTTATAGGTATTACTGACTCGTTGCAAACGAATTGGAGTGTCGAAAAAAATTTCGGGAGTTGAGAGAACCCGGTTAAAAGTTATAGCAAAAACATTGCAGCCTCAAGGTTTTGGACTGACTGTAAGGACTGTGGCTGCAGGCCATTCTCTAGAAGAACTGCAGAAAGACTTAGAAGGTCTGCTTTTAACCTGGAAGAACATTACAGATGAAGCAAAATCTTCAGCTCTTGCTGCAGATGAAGGTGTGGAAGGAGCCATTCCTGCGCTGCTACATAGAGCAATGGGTCAAACACTCTCAGTTGTGCAGGACTATTTCAATGACAAGGTAGTTAGGCCATTTTCTATATTTTTCAGTGGCCCCTTTAGGTTCTATGTGTTGACATGTCAATTGACAGTAATATCTTGTTTTTTTTCCAGGTTGAGAAGATGGTGGTTGACTCTCCCAGGACATACCATGAGGTACATTGCCCCCATTATGCTCAATTCCATTTTCCATAATAAGAAATAAATAGTGCGTCGAAGGAGACCTTCCCTGTCATAAACAATGATCTTATTACCCTCATACATATATTGATAGACATCACTTGAATGTTATTTCAAATGCTCAAGTAAAAGCTCCAGTTACATGTGTCATTTCTTTTCTTTTTGTACCAACTTTTGCACTTGCAGATAATTTAAACGTTTACTGTCATCTAGAACGGCTCACCCAATAGAGTAGATGCTGTATCCAAATTATTTCACTAACTGGTATTAGTTTACAGGTCACACACTACCTGCAGGATATGGCACCTGATCTTTGTAATCGAGTGGAATTGCATGATAAGGGTATCCCTCTTTTTGATTTATACGACATTGAGGAGGAAATCGAAGGTATTCTTAGTAAAAGGTAAGAAGTGGCTAACACTGCACTGTCGGGAGTTATGACCCACCTTTCCCTTCCCTGATATCTTCATGTAAATTATCTATTGCCTCTTGCAGAGTTCCACTTTCTAATGGAGGTTCTTTAGTGATTGAACAAACTGAGGCGTTGGTCTCTATTGATGTGAACGGAGGACATGGAATGTTTGGTCAGGGTAATTCACAGGAGAAAGCTATTTTAGAAGTTAATCTTGCTGCTGGCAGACAAGTATGTGATACATTTTGGCTGCTAGATTACATATTCATTTGCCAACCTTTTGCGGCAGAATTTTACCTCTGAAAAGTTCCTTACTAATGATTCTATAGAGCGTCATGAGGTCAGATACGAGCATATTTATGGGTGTATGAATTATCCGATGATTAGTGAATGCCGTAGGAAAAATTTAACAGAGAGAAAGAATAACTGTATGAGTCCTGCTTGTCTTGCGTGATTCTCCTTGAAGTCTACTCAAGTTTTGCAATATGCTGATCTTGAGAAGCATTTATTAAGTAATACTCGATGCGATCATTATTCAGATTGCAAGGGAGATTCGGCTGAGAGATATTGGTGGTATCATTGTGGTAGATTTCATTGACATGGCAGATGAATGTGAGTAGAATGTCATTATTATTCATGCAATCACATATTCAATAATTCTCGATATGCAAATCCCTTTCTTGGATGATGGATGTCTTGTATATTTTTTTTTTTTTTTTTTGTTGGGTTTCAGCAAATAAGAGACTGGTTTATGAAGAGGTTAAGAAAGCCGTGGAGAGAGATAGGTCACTGGTAAAAGTATCAGAACTGTCTAGGCACGGACTTATGGAAATAACAAGAAAAAGGGTATAGTCCCAACTTGTGGATGTTTGTTTTACTCTTTCTGTAGAGCTTCTAATCAAATCTTTTGGCATAGCACGTCCACTATATACTGTTACAGGAGGGGCCGTTCCCTAGAAAGAACTGAGCCCTTTATTGTAATGAATCTATTTTTCCACAGGTTCGGCCGAGTGTAACATTCATGATCAGTGAACCATGTTCTTGCTGTCACGCAACTGGTAGAGTGGAGGCACTAGAGACTTCCTTCTCAAAAATTGAACAAGAGATTTGTCGGCAGCTCGTGAGTGTTTTAGTCTCGCCTCTTTTCTGTTACTTCTCTTTCCAACCAAATGAACAACATCTTGAATGAATGATCCAACCTGTTACCTATTATTGATCTTCTCCATTTTTGTACAAAATTTTAGACCATCCTTCGATGATGTTTTGTTCCATGTCATGACGATCTAACTTTTTCAGGCAAAGATGGAGAAAAGAGGAGACCTAGAAAACCCCAAGTCTTGGCCAAGATTCATATTGCGGGTGGACAGTCATATGTCAAGCTTCTTGACTACGGGGAAGAGGACGCGGCTTGCAATCCTGAGTAGTTCCCTGAAAGTATGGATTCTCTTGAAGGTACCTTAGCACACTCTTCCTCCTTTGATGTGATTGGCTGGAGCCAGCATTTTGCATGAGGCTGTGTGTGAATATTAGTTTTTCTGACACAATGTCTTTTTTAGGTTGCTAGACATTTCACCAGAGGAACCTTTGAGGTCAAACCGTTCATGGATGAGAAGACGGTAAACGAAAGACAGCATCAAGTTGCTATTTCACTCCTCAAGAAAGCTGACGCCATAGCAGACTCCTCAGGCAAGAAGAAGCTCACTCTTATTCCCAAGAAGGAAAAGACCAGTGGTAAACATAGACGATGAAACATTTTTTTTCTTAATTTCGCATCACTTTTGTTAGTTGTCTCAAATAATACCGTTCTTCACTGTACCGAATCAATTATTGTGTATCAATATCATCTTCTTCAGTCAGATTTTGCATTTCAAAGAAATGGAACCAAACTAGAAGGGCAAGTATTAGTCTAGAAGTCACGAGACGAAACAGCAGTCGAAAATACAAAGCTAATCTACAATACAAAACTGAAAACAAGTGGTACAAGATTCAAACAACAAACAAATAAGAAATCTAAGAGAGATCAAGAAGTTGCAGCATTGCAGGTCCCAACTCCATCTTTGCAATCGTTTGTAAGATCGTTGAATGTTTCAATCTGCTTCTTCCCTCTCAAGAATACTTCTGTGTCAACAGATGCTCTCATGTAACCATCAAATTCGACCAGGTTGCCTCCATTAAGCTTTGTAGTCTCTGAATACCACTCGCTATTCTCGTCCCAAAGATCTTTGTAGTCATAAAGAAAATGAGTGGCATACTTGTCTTTCAAAGGGTTGAAGAAGGATAATTCTTCTTCATTTGTTGCAATGTAGAGATGCCTTCCTTCTTCTACTTTGTCCTGCAAGGTCGACAAAAGAGCGGTCGGGGAAGTATCTGTTTCAAGATTAGGCCACAGCTCCTTGTTTCTTGCTTTATCTCCTCTCTCAATGTGTACTGCATCGTAATCCCAGTTTAACCTTGATGCAATCGCAGAGACGATTTCCATCAACCTTCTTGATTTCCATAACAGATGCCACGGCCTTTTAACAACAGATTCTGCATCTCCTTCACAAACTCTGTACCAATAATTGTCTGGTTCTACTGACCCAAATTTCCTCATTATCAACGTATCTTTTACAGCCGCAAGCTTCTTCGGCGTGACCCTAAAATCCTCCACGAGATGAATATTCAATCTATTTCTTCTCTTCTTATGCAATTTCCCCCACTTAGACCAAAACTGAACTTCATCCAACACAGAAGCAGCTTCCTTCAAATGCTCGAAATCAAAGTAAAACCGAAAGTCCTTCCCTTCCTCGTTCTGACCAGAGGACGTATAGATAGAAGACAAACACAACGTCAAATCCATCACCAAAGTCCTATTCAAATACTGAGCTTCCCCAAGTGCACACAAAAAACTCCACAGAAAATGATTCATACTCTTACACCTATCCCCTCCACCAACATAAACCAAATACTTGCCACTCTTAAACACACTATCAGACTCAACCATAGGAAGAGAATCATTCACTAGTTCACCAACAACAGGCAAAGAGAAATCATCTTTCTTCTCACCAGTTTTCTCAAACCCGGCTTTCTGATTCTTCTTCCGCTTCCTCGCATTCAAACCCGAATGATACTCACCAATCCCCACAACACTCACACTACAATTCTCAGACTTACCAACAACAAACCTCCTATAATCCTTATAAAAAGCAGCACTCTTCCCATCTTTAGGCCTATACCGCCACGCCATATCACAAGAATTCACACCTTCACCAACCACAGGCTTACCAAACTTATAAAAGTGAATATCTTTAAACTTCTCAATAGTAGCTCTCATCATAAGATGAAACACTTCTTGATCTTTGCAATCAATAGGAGTATTCACATCACATTCCAACTGATTAGCCTCTCCCTCTGAAGTAGTCTCATTGGTATTGGTTGCTTCAACATCAGTTATGTTGATAAACTCCGCAAATGCGGTTTGATTCGCTACCATGAAATCTTCACCGGTTTTAACAACGGAGTCATCGGATCTCAGTGTAGCGTTTGATGTGGAAGTGAGGAAAGTTGTGATTTTGTCAGATGGGTGGAAGAGAGGATCTTCTGGTTCGTAAGTTGCGGCGATGATGGTGAAGATTAGTACTCCGAAGACGAAGAGTGAGAAGCCTATGTTACCTATTAAGGTAAGTGCGTTTTGCCCTAGATTCTCAGGACGGAAACCTCCACGAATCGCAGATCGGCCAAACATTTTCTTCTTTCGGAATCAAGAAGTGAGGAAGAGATCTAGAGATACAGATCTGGGAATGAAGAAGAATGAGAAGAAGAGAGATTTGATGAGCCACCTCTAGTTACGGTGGAGGAGTTGTGTATCCATCATCAGTGTTACTGTGATTGCCTGGCTCGAGTCGATGAAGCTTGAGTGAGGTGTGATTGGAGTTAGGAGTGAAAATCCACCGACAAGGGCAGAAATGTAATTTCAAGCTAACATTTATATATCACGTTCACGTTGCAAGCGTGTTGGGTCAACCTTTCGGATCGAGAAAAAGTCTACCGGAACCAAAACTTTGGTTAGGGCAACAAAAAATTGTTGTCGAATTTGACTCCAAGTTCTGAAATTTTTATTTTATTTGGATTAATCCGACCGAGTCACTATCGAGCAAGAAACAAATTTGTAGGTTTTTATGATAAATTTGGAGGATATTGTAGTAGTTTTGGATCAAAAAAAAGATCTGTTATTTAAAACCATGAAAATCACTTCTTAGTAGCATGAAGAAAAACGTTAGCTTTTTTTTTAAGCACAATACTTAATAAGAATTCAAGATAAGATATGTTTATTGAGATATCGATCATTATTGACCCAGAATCATGAATATTTGGAAGAGCTAGATAAGCAAATAATTGCTAGAAAGCGATTTGGTAGTAGCTTGATCTACACATATAGCGGTATTTGGTTTATCTAATTAACACATGCTCCATGCGGTACCGTCTTAATCTATAGAAGGGTCTTTGGTAAAATTATGAAAAAAAAAAACAAATTCTCTTAATAAAATTTTTTAAAAAACAAATTACGTCTTTTTTCTTTACTAAATTTTTTGAAAATAACATTGGACCCATGGCAAATGCCTATGTTGCCATGGGGTAGAGACGGGCTCCATGCCGCTTTCTGATATAGGATTGGGATTCACTCCACAATCTTATGAATATTAAACGGTGATTATTATCTCCACTGCATCGTTAAAGTTTGTAGGAGAGTCAATCACAAGAACTGATCAACAAGCTTAGGCGGAAGGATGGAAACGAATGTAGAGGTGGTGGTGATACTTGTGATTGACTCTCTCAATCAATGGGGCGATTGACTCTCTTAATCCGTGGAGAACTAGACTTGTTTGAATCACACAAACAATCCTAATCTTATAATCTCAAGAATCAAATGAATCTGTCAAATGAAACTTAAAGACAAACTTTAAACAAAGACACTCATTGAATAAAAACAAACTTGTATATTTCTTAGATGATTGAAAGGTGTTTTGGAGAAGGAAAGAACCGTTGGAGATTAATTGCTCCAAGTATGAATGCTCTTGGCGCCGGATATGGAAAGTGTTGAAGTTTGAATGAGTGAGATTGAATCCAGTTGATCCAATGGCTGAGAATGAAGCTTGAGGTTTTCTTATATGTCTCTACTTGTAGTAGATACTCTCCTGGACGCCATACTTGCTTCTAAAACCGAAAGGTTCCAAATAAGATAAGTCGAGTAAATCACTCGACTTGTTCTGCGTGGAGCAAGAACAAGGAAATGTTCTAATAACAGTAATAACAAGAACGGCCTAGTTAACTAAATAAGGAAGAGATAACATTCTGCGTCGATGATGAAAAAGATGCAAATAAATGTTTTCCTCAAACTGATAAAACCATAAAAATAATTTTATTTGGGTTGTCCATTGACCAATTGCTCCAACCCGTTTTTTAATCGCGGACTAGTTTGGTCCTACCTCATTCTGGCCATTCGGATATGGCATGTCCGTGGTCAACACAAAACAATATGGACTAGGCGTAACCCATGGTCATCCAGCCCAAGAGACAGCTCCATTCATTTACCTTCAAGCACAAACTCATTTCGTTCTCCTTGTGATAGTATTTGTCCACCTTCCATAAATTTAGCTTTGTTCTTATTCTCCTCACTTACATATAGAAGACTGAACCACATATTGACTCTCAACCCGCTCCAGAACTTACTCAACCGTACCTTTTTCTTCCTACCGTACTTTTTTTCTCCGAATAGTCACGTGATCATATTACTATAACTTGATCATCAGCTAATCATCAAGAAAACAACTATTTAGTGACTCCATTGTGGGGCAGATCAAGTTTGGTCCACAATGGTCGAACCATCCCTCATAGCCTTTCCAAACCAGAAGACACCGAATTTCATCCTCAACTCTTGCATTCCGATTCAACATCCGAAATCGACACTGATTAAATATATTTAGTACTATTTATGAAAAATTTGTATAAGATTTTATTTAGTTACTATATAAGTCTCTGATTTTATTTTTTTGTTAATAAGCACTTTGTTTTTAGTAATGGCTGATGTACGTAATTTCTGACATGTTAACTTCATTCTAAGAACCGATTTAGCGTTGACACATGAAAAAATCAAATTTTCCCTCCGACTTTTAAAATATTGTATGAGGTACATTGTGGTGATTGGCCAAGGATTCCTTTAAAGAATCCCTCTTTGCTAGTTGGCATTCGAGAATCAGGACCACAACAATAAACTAGTCATTTAAAAGAGCAAGGAGCGATTATTAGATGTTTGATTTGTTATAAATTTTAAATCAAAACCCACTTAGCATTTAACTTATATAGGTTTGAGAGCTGGCCTACTCTATTTTTTCGACAAGTTGAACCAGCAACTATAACGTCGTGCTAACTTTTTTCCCATAACGTCCATTGCATATATATCTCGAAAGCTGTATATGTATTTGTACATGTCAATCTCCTTTGTACGGTTTGTACGATAGAAGAAAAATGAAAACACATCCTCAAGCACTTCTCTTATGTGTGTTGTTCTTCATCACGTTTGGCCTTTTACATCTCGTTGAAGCTGGAGGTCAAGAAGGTATATATCTACTAGCTACATACACAATTTTTTGTTGTTGTTTTTAATACATTTACGTACTCTTATAATATTTATGTACGTTTGAATTCATATTTCTTACTAGGATTCATCAGTTTAGATTGTGGGTTATCCCCCAATGAACCTCCTTACGTCGATGCTAGAACCGACTTAACATACACAACGGACAATGGTTTCGTGCAGAGCGGTAAAACTGGTAGAATCGATAAGGAATTGGAGTCAGACTACGACAAACCAATTTTACAGCTTAGGTACTTCCCTGAAGGAGTCCGAAACTGTTATACCTTGAACGTCACCCTCGGAAACTACCTGATCAGAGCCAGTTTCGTGTATGGTAACTACGATGGTCTTAATAAAGAACTCGAGTTTGACCTTTACCTTGGTCCGAATCTATGGGCAAACGTGAAAACAAGCGTGTATTTAAGGAACGGAGTGACCACAGAGGAAATCATCCACAGTACCAAATCTAAGGTACTCCAGGTTTGTCTTATTAAAACAGGAACGAGTATACCTATTATTAATAGCTTAGAGCTGCGACCACTTATAAACGATACCTACAATACGCAAAGCGGCTCGCTGAAATATTTATTTCGGAATTATTTCAGCTCTTCAAGGAGACTAATAAGGTATATATCAATCATGCCGTTTATATTAATCAAGTTCAGTTTTGGTTAGACTACATAATAATTTGTTTCTAATACATATATAATTAATGTGTCAGGTACCCGGATGATGTCAATGATCGTCATTGGTATCCATTCTTCGATGAGGATGTGTGGACAGAATTGACTACAAATCTCAATGTTAACAGTTCTAATGGTTATGATCCACCAAAATCTATAATGGCTTCGGCCGCAACACCCATAAGTAACAATGCGCCCTTCAACTTCACCTGGTCATTGATCCCCTCTACGGCCGAATTTTATAGCTACATGCACTTTGCTGATATTCAGACACTACGGGCCAATGATACCCGAGAATTCAACTTTATATTGAATGGGAACGTTGCCTTGGAACGGTATAGACCTAAAACGTTCGCAGCAGGAACTATATTCCTCACAAAACCAAAAACATGTGAAGGAGGGAAATGCATCATAGAGTTATTAAAAACGTCAAAGTCTACTCTTCCTCCGCTCTGTAGCGCCCTCGAGGTTTTTACCGTGATCAAGTTCCCTGAATTGGAAACAAATCAAGATGACGGTACGTCAATGCAAAATATCATTTATTTGAATTATTGCATTTTATGTGTTGATTACTGATATATCATGAATTTTATTCTAGTTTTTGCTATCAAGAATATCCAAAATACTTATGGAGTGAGTAAAATTAACTGGCAAGGAGATCCATGTGTTCCTAAACTGTTTATCTGGGATGGTTTAAACTGCAACAACTCGGATGTTTCCACACCACCTATAATCACTTCTTTGTAAGATCAATCATTAAATTATCATATTACTTGTCACATCGTATCATCATTATTGAAAGCATTTTTCTATGAAATGTATGTTCATCAACATGTCTTTAGAGACCTATCCTCAAGTCATTTAACGGGGATCATTGCACCTGCCTTTCAAAACCTAACCCACCTACAAAAATTGTAAGTATTTTAAATTTCGCAACTAAGCATCACGAAAAAAATTTGTTATCTTTGATACAAGAGTTACATCTTATGTATTTCAAATGCTTTAATTAGGGACTTGTCAAATAACAATTTGACAGGCGGAGTACCTGAGTTTCTTGCCAGCATAAAATCACTTTTGGTCATGTGAGTTGCTTTTGAGTTAATAAATTTTGTTTTTTTTTCATTTCGCTCCATTACAAGCTAGCCTTTTTCGTCCACTATAGACTTGCTTATTTTCCTGACTTTGTATCTACTTTAACAGAGACTTAAGTGGGAATAATCTTACTGGTTCTGTTCCCCAAACCCTTCTACAGAAGAAAGGACTTACGTTAAAGTAACTATTTTATCATATCATATTTTTTAGATGAATATATAGAAGAATTTCATGTGTTAAGTTATCCAAAATAACACGGGTAATTAACCCTCAGTCTTGAAGGAAATATATATCTTAATTGTCCGGGTGGATCATGTGTACACAAAGACGGAAATGGAGGTGCCAAGAAAAAGAATGTTCTAGTGTTGGTTGTGGTATCAATTGCAGTTGTGGTAGTTCTTGGAACTGCATTAGCTCTTTTTTTGGTGTTTAGAAAAAGAAAAACACCGCACAGTGAAGGTATATACGAAAAACTTATCTATTTATATAAACATTTCAACATATTCACAATATAAATATGCAAAGTCTCATTATGCTTATGCCATACAACATAGGACCATCATCATCGACTCAAACGCAAGTATCAGATGCTAGAACAACTAGATCATCAGACCCGATAATAATGAACAAGAACAGAAGATTTACTTATTCGGAAGTTGTAAAGATGACCAATAATTTTGAGAAAATCCTTGGTAAAGGAGGGTTTGGAATGGTCTATCATGGAACTGTGAATGGTGCTGAACAAGTAGCCGTTAAAATGCTTTCACCCTCATCATCTCAAGGGTATAAGGAATTCAAAGCAGAGGTACTTTATAGAACATTTTATTAAACATTTGTAGAAAAATCAGTGTTCTTTAAGATGTGATTTGTTAAATTAAATCTTGATTCTACATTCTTTCTACTCTTGCAGGTAGAACTTCTTCTCAGAGTTCACCATAAAAATTTGGTTGGCCTCGTTGGATATTGTGATGAAGGAGAAAATTTATCTCTCATCTACGAGTACATGGCTAAAGGAGATCTTAAATAACATATGTTAGGTAAGTACTATAATTAAAGAGTTTCTACAAATATCACGTTTGTTTCCAGTTTTTGTCTTCTCATATTTATATCTCGATTTAACTGTAGGAAACCAAGGTGGATCTATTTTGGATTGGAAAACTAGACTAAAGATAGTGGCCGAGTCCGCGCAAGGTTTAATGAGTTTTGACATACATATTTTCTTGATTTCCTCTTGTTCTTTGCTTAAACCATGACGAAAATGAAATTTTCTATATAGGGCTGGAATACTTGCATAATGGATGCAAACCACCAATGGTACATAGAGATGTCAAAACCACAAATATATTGTTGGATGAACATTTTCAGGCCAAGCTTGCTGATTTCGGTCTTTCGAGATCTTTTCCTATCGAAGGAGAAACCCGTGTGGACACAGTTGTTGCTGGAACTCCTGGATATCTTGATCCAGAGTAAGTGTTATAAGTTTGTTGCTTACCGGTTTGGTTATTAATTAGTTTTGAGATCAACATTATCAGCTCTCGTTTTTCATTGCTTAATTGATACAATACTTTTTGCATTTTTTCTGCTTTTCTAATGGCATAAAGAAACTATTTTGCAGATATTATCGAACAAATTGGTTGAACGAGAAAAGTGATGTTTATAGCTTTGGAATTGTACTACTAGAGATCATCACAAACCAACCCGTGATCAACCAAAGTCGTGAAAAGCCACATATAGCTGAATGGGTTGGGGTAATGCTTACAAAAGGAGACATCAAAAGCATTATAGATCCAAAATTTAGTGGAGATTATGACGCTGGTTCTGTCTGGAGAGCAGTTGAACTAGCAATGTCATGTGTAAATCCTTCTTCAATTGGAAGACCAACCATGTCTCAAGTTGTTATCGAATTAAATGAATGTCTGGCATCAGAAAACTCAAGGAAAGGAATCAGTCAAAACATGGAGTCAAAGGTTTCTACAGAAGTCAGCATGAACTTTGGTACTGAATATACCCCTGTAGCTCGCTAGGCTACATGAGCCATCTATCTTTTGTTATATTTGGTGAGTTATTTTTAATAAATTTGAATGTTTGTAATGACTTTTTGTAATTGATAAATGTGATTCGTTTCGTTCAAGATTAGTTAGCAAGGCTCTAGATATAGTAAAAGACAAATGACTCAATCAAAACTCCCCTAAACCCACCTAAGTTTTGCTGGAAGATTGAAAAATTGGGTAGGGATAGACCAACTGCAGAAAATTAAATAAAATAGACGCTCAATGAGAAAATAAAATAGACGCTTAAAGAAAATTACATTGGCAAGACCACGTTCAAAAAATAATTTAATTACTTAGCAAATACAGCATTTAAAAACTCGTAAATCAGTTAAGCACAAAGATAAGTTACATACTTACATGTATTCTTCAAAGGTAACAAACAACGATCGAGCTAAACTCCTCTGAGCCTAGACTTTAACCATGTAAGGTGGTGGCACGAGGTTTCTAGCAAGGACCCGAAGTTATTGAATTCGGTAAGAATAAAAACTAATTGGGGTTATAGAAAGCAACTGTTTACTAGAGATCTTCAAGATCACATTCTTCTCAAAGAAGTCAATTTGATCGTGTTAAAGCTTTAGAAAAAAAAAACATTACGGTGATTCAAGAATTAAGACGAAGCATCGAATTCAATCGAAAAAAAGCATCCGATTTTCAGAAGATCTCCACTTACAATCTCTATTCAATCTTTTGTTGCCTCTCTCTCAAAAAGGATACACAATTGTCTCTTACAAGAGTCTATCAATGAAAAAGAATCAACATTTCAGATGAATAAATTAAGAATTAAAAGAATAGCAACTGTACATTGTAGTCTTACTCAACAATACATGTGAAACCAAGAGTATGAGAGAAGTATATGTGACTGCAAATGAAGAAACATGAAAGAAAGCAAAAGAAGAACTCAGAGAGAAGTGTGTTTGGTTTAGAGCCTAAGATAGCCTCTTCTTTCTTGGACTATGTTTGGTCTCTTCTGGAACGATCTTCTGTTAAGAGACCAACTTCTTTTCAAATTTCTCACTCTCCACCAAGAAGCTATCCGACTATATAACGCTGGAAAACCGAAGCAGCACAACACTAGAACCAGCATTATCAAACAGATGTACATCACATTTCTGAATCCGTCTCCTAGCTCCGGTTTGTCTTGTCCTGTCCATGGAACTCCTCCAACATTCATTCCAAAAACTGGCCATTTAGACACATTAACAACAGGTTAAGATAGTACTTCCGTGACGAAATGGAAACAGAGTATTGGGTTTTGGGTGCTTTGGTTTACCTCCGGTAATAATCGATAGAGGAAGGAATATTATGGAGAGAAAGGAGAGGTAATAGAGCTTTCGGTTGATTTGCTCGGCTTGCCAGCTATCCAAACCAGCTTGAATTGCAGTCACACGATTCGCAATGAAGCCTACATTTTCTTTTAACCGTCTTAACCGCCCAATCAACTCTTCCAACGAGTTGATGTCTTCTGCCAGAAACCAAGGCTTCGTTGAACATTTTTCCTTCACTCTTGGAAATACTTGTTCTCCATGTGCAATCACCTGAGATGCATGCCAATGTTTAACTAAGAGTAGAAACACAAAATGAAGCCAGAATCTTCTAAATCACAAAGCAGGATGTTCCTAGAAGAACAAAATAGTTGCTGCAAAGACATGAAATCACACAAAACAATGTTCTGAAGAAAGCTTGAGGCTGTTGATATATAGCTCTACCTGCAAAAGACGCTGCAAGTTGAGATGCAGTTTAGGGAACCTTCTATCATCCAACATCTGTTTCTTCATAGCAAATCCACCTATCGTCAAAAATGATGATACATATGAAACCAAAAAACAACTATACAAATGCCTTCTGAAATAAAGCTGCAAATGTGCATAGACTTGAAAAGAAATAATCAAATGGAGAACAAAACAAATGGCAAATGCAGGTTTCTCATTTTAGTCATATAAGGGTTTAGTAACAAAATTAGCTGTTGAAGAAGAGAGTGGTAGCTAACCTCTATCCATTTCGAGTTCCACAGCATCCAATTCGATCTCAAGTTTAGTAACAACATCTTGAAGCTGATCAACATGTGTATCAATAATATGCACAACAAGATTCGAAACAGAAGTTGGCACAGGGTTATCAGCTTCCTCAGAATGGTTCATAGTCAGCAAGAATTCAAGAACATGCTCCTCAATAACAATCCCACTTCTTTCCTTCCTCTCACCACGATAATACGAAGGAGAATCCACACTAGGAACTTCTGAGAGAAGCGATTGACCCATAGGCGAGAATCCTAACCTAGGAACTCGTCCTAAAGACACAGTAATCACAGAATTCTCAGTAATCCTCGCAGCAATCTTAAACGTAAAACTACTCGAAGCAGGACCAGGTGAATTAACTCGAAACACAAGCGCTCCATCAACATGCCCACAAAAGGGTCCATTACTAACAAGAGAAAGAATATCTTGCAACTTCAACGGTGGACATAAAGCATCAATCAAATGCTGAGCAGATTGAGAAAGCTTCTGATTTCCTTTAGGTAATTCAACATGATACCAACAAAACTCTTTCCCTGTTCCTTCAGCAAGATCCCATTCTTTATTATAGTATTTACCATCACCATCAAATATATAAGCTCTTTGTCTCACCATTCCTGAGAATTGATGAGAACTAAACCTATGTGAAGCGTCTCTACGAGGAACACTACTTGTTAAAGACTCAAGATCCGTCTCATCTACTTCATCACCAATTCGATCTTGCTGCTGCATCATTGACAACAAATCTTGAATCTTTCTCACAATTTGAAATCAACCCACAAAGAAAAATTGAAACTTTATCATCAAACTCGCGAAATCAGTTCCTGAAACGAATTGGGTAAATGCAAAATCTCATGATCAACAAACAACAACAACAACATTGTAGAATCCGGTAGAGAGACGAGTTTAGATCGGTGTGAACTTACACATGCAAAGGTGAGATCTAGCTGGAGATTTTGGTTCTTATGGAGAAGACCCAGTTGTGGAATCGACGGGTGAGAACGATGAGAACGATGAAACAGTGAAATTGGTTTGTTGAGAAAGTTTGATGGAGAAAGAGTTGACCAGAGAAACAAAAACAAGTCGGAATCTGTCAGATCAAATTTAATGGCACAGATTGGATCATATAATCTTTATGGATTTTACTATTTTCACATATAGTATGTTTTTAATGTCAAATTTACATATTTAATACAAAATTAGCACTATATTAATTAGAGTGAATCTCAACAACTTTTTTTTGTTGTTGTTGAAAATAATCATTGTAAATAACTAAATATAAGAAAATGTTATAAACCATATGGATGGATTCCATCTACGGCCCATTAGGGTTTTACCTTATTCTCTGTATCATGCTATTATCCTTGTATATATATCCTTTATTCTATTAATGAAAGATACAGTTCACAACACGTTATCAGCACGATAGCCTCTCCACCCTAAAAGCTAAAAATCCCAAAACCCTAAATCTCTCTCACAAAATCCAAAACCATGCCGTCTTTGTTCCTCAACGATATCGCTTATCTCTCCGTCTCGTTTCCTACCGAGCTAAGTGTTATTACTCATCATAATACTTAGACCTCATTAATACATTCATGCTTTAGTGCTCAGTCGTTTAATTATTAAGATCTATATAACTATATTATTCTATGATCGACACATGCTTTAGTGCTCTATTGTTTAATTATTGAAATCGATACTTTATTGTTTGTTTATCTCATGCATCGATTATTGCTCGTGTATTTAGTATCTGTTTGTATACTTTATTGATACATGGTTTTATATATCCATGACACAAACTTATTATGTATTCGTCATGCACATATAATAATCATTTAGTTAATTCACGGAAACACATGTTTTATCATAGATTTTATTCATGAATCAACCGATTCATGTAGTCACGTTTGTCATGATGGTCAGTTTAATAAATCGATGGTGTAAGTTCTAAAGTTTAATTCACTTTATAAATTATAATGATCACTATGGTTACGATGCATGATCCCATGGCTTCATATATTGTTTTCATCGCCACATGTCTCAGTTGTTTGATTCATTATTTTATTGTTTAGTAATTCGTTTGGTTTGATAGCACCAACAATATTAAAAGAATTTAATCATTAGTAGTGATATTAAATAGGAAACTAAAGATGGATTTTTTTTTACTAATGTAATAGCCATGTTTCCATGAGCAAAATTTTGAGTTTCTCAGGAATCAGGATTATATATATTGAGATTTTGTAAGAGGTCCCAACCAGCTAAGAGACATAACTGTTTCCAATCTCCGTATCAGATCTCGGGTCTCTGTTTCAGTTCTCCAATTAAGATAAGTGCTATTTATTTATTATGCTTTATATACATGATCCAATTAAAGTTTGATAAGATAAAATTTGCATGAAAATTGGCACATGTGATTTGATTTATGATTGGAGAATTAATTGAGAAGTTAGTGAATGGAAAAATGTTTAATGGCATGATAGATTGAATATTTTAATATAAACCCTAGGTTAAACCGAAAGTAAACCGAAACTCTAAATCCTAGGTTAAACCGGTTTAATAAACCCTAAGTCACGGTTTAAGATCAAGCTTCCCATAAATGGAAAATTTCCAGAAATAGAAAGTTCCATATAAAGAAAGTTTACAGAAATAGAAAGTTTCGTAAAATAGCAAGTTTCCCAAAATAAAAGGTTCCCTAAAATAGCAAGTTTCCCAAAATGGAAAATTACCAAAATAGGAAACCCCTTCATAAGGAAATATTCCAAAACCCTAAAGTACATAATTGTTTAGGATTTCTTTCTAGATGAGAAATAAAAATTTTCTATAAAAGGAAAGTTTCCATAAATAGAAAGTTCCATACATAAAACCGAAATCCTAGCAAAAACCCTAGTACTATAAATCGCGGATGCTAAAACCCTAAAACTTAACCGCGAAATCCTAATATCCTAATCTAGTATGATCCGATTGTTTGGTTGTTGCATACTAGATCAATCTTCTAGGGTTGATTTCATCCATATATAACATGATTGTTTAGAAAACACTTGCTGAAGACAAGCATGGCTCGGTCTTAA